CTTTTCTAGTGAACGGCTGTATGAAATTTGGCTCATCTTGATGGGAAAAATTGGTGTGAATGATCCTTTGATGTGTGTCTGATGAACCCACTATAAAGGTCAAAACACGCTGTTTTATGAGGGGATCACACACATCTATTCATATGGACATGATTTACGCCTTTGTGGAACAATATCACTTCTTTATACTTTGGAAATATACAATTTTCATATTTTTTGCTTCTAGAGTACACTTGTATTTTTTTCTCTTCATTTTTTCTGCCTGGCTGTGTGTGCATTTTTTTGTTTGCGTGTGTTTGCATGCTGCTGTGATTTTGCAACTGTCAGCAGTGAGATTAAAATCCATCCCCTTACGGTTAGGGAATCAATTTATATTTGTGTATAATTATTAATGTTTGGTTTTTATGTGATAGCAGGCTGATTAGATTTCTATGGGGTTGCTGGAGTGCAACTCTTTCTAAGAACTCCTGGATTGTATACTCTTTGTTGTTACCTTTCCCCATGTGAACCAGTGGTTTCTGTGTGCTTGAAAAAAATTTTGTACTATAAGATCAAGTAGTGTTCTGTGCGTTTTTTTTTTTTTTTGCCTTTCCTGTGTGCCTGTGTTATGATATGATAACATGCATTTATCTGAGACCTACCTGTGATTGTATTAGAATGCTCATACTTTAGACATGACTTTCCAATAACACAAAATATTGAACCTTTGTTCTTGTTTTTGTCTTTTTTATCCTTATTTCTTTTCTTTTTTTTTTCATTTCCTTTGTTCTCTCAATGGAACGAGAGTCCTGTATTTAGAGGAGAGACGAAGGCTTTGCACCTTCTTGTCACGGCCAGGGGTCAAGGGGGGTCAGCCAGCTCACGTTGGATTCTGGAGCCAGCCACATTAAGAGGCCAGTCTGTTTTAACTATTAATCTCTCTCTCTGTTTAGATAAACTTGACACACACACACACACACACACACACACACACACACAAACAAATACACATTCTTAGCTGCTGACACACACACACACTCACTCTTACTCAGACATCCTTACACACA